GAGCAAGGACGCTGCTAGAGGCTCCTGGCCTTACTACTAGGAGCAAGAACGCTATCGCTACTAGAGGCTCCTGGCCTTACTACTAGGAGCAAGAACGCTACTAGAGGCTCCTGGCCTTGCTACTAGGAGCAAGAAGCTAGTAGGAGCAAAGGGCCTCGGTGGCTTCCTCTTGGGCGGCGGAGCTGGTGAAGCGCGCCGCACGGCCCACCACTGCAAGACCAGCCTCTTCTCGAGCCACTAGGCGGCGAACCTGCAAGACATAGGCCTTGGAAACGACCGAGGCCATCGTCCGAGGTATCCGAGGTGCGTAGGCCGATTTGAACTATTTGCAGCTTGGGGTAGTCATTGGAGACCTAAGAAAGCCTCTAAGACTCACGTATACAGACTCTGACGGTGCGATCCTCTCGCTCTTTCGTCTCTCAGTCCAGGACCTTGGAACTCTTGCTCTGTCGCATGTCATTGGCCAACTCGCTGGCCAAGGGCGGCCGCGGCGGAAAGCGCCACGCGATATCCGCCAACGTCGACACCTCATCCACGGCTTGCCGCCATAGGTCCCGTCGTGGACCACCCAGAGCATCTCGCACATAGCGCTGGGCTAAGGCGGCTAAGACACCGAAGACGCAGGCTGCCACACGACGCCAGTTGGTCAACCTCACCAGATCCATGCAGTTGTTTGTGAAACATGTGTGGTTCTTAACCCAAATGGTAAGTAGTAAGTAATTACTTGTCTTCCATAACTTGGCCTTCAGCTTCCTCGGGCATTCAGGAGTCCCCTCCAAGACATTTCAAGAAGTGGCAACATACCCGCAGACCCACAAGCTGTATCTGAGACTCTGTATGACAGCACTGGCACAACATGAGAAGAGAACATGTTCGAACTCTCGAAGGGAATAGGAAGCCCAGCTCCGGGAGAAAACGCCAAGGAGTGACGGTCAGCGGTCAGCGCTTGCCGATGTTTCGCCCTTTTTTTGGCCGGTCCGGGGGGGTGAAGAGGATGAAAGACCTTCACAGTTCGTTTGAAAGAGTTCATCAAAATTGATGGTGGTTCATTTGGTAATCAAAGTCGTCACCCGACTCCTTCATTTTATCTTCCTAGATGACGCTACCACTTAGATCTAGCTGTGGAGTTGCTGGCTTTCCAGTTGCTTCTATCCTTCATTCACCTCTTCTGGTTTTCAAGCAACCCAAAGTTTCTGTTGAAACAAACCTTCAGCGTCACACACACACACACTGTCACCAGGGACCCTGAAGAGGATAGCTTGATCTTCAGCTCCCAGATCGCGAAACCCTCAGTGCAGAATGGGCTTTGAGCCGTGATCTTGGGCCCCAAGTTCTCTGGAAGCCATCCATGTCGCTGAAGCCAAGCTGACCTCACATGATGCCATGGTGGTTTGCGAAATCAACTTCACTGGTTGGCAGGTATAGACAAGAGAAACTATTCTGTGCTGTACGGGCTACATGTCTACGATCTTAAAGAGTACAAATCTCTGGCATGTTCTTGATCTTCAGCCATTATCCTGTAAACGTCGGGAAAGATCCGCTCGTCTCAGGCAAACCAAGATGTTTAACTCTCGGTTTTGTTTCTTCTATCAAGCACTAATGACAAGACGACTTATCGAGCCGTACATGTGCAGCATGTGCCCAGCCATCATCACAAATCCGGGACACAAAGATCCGGGCCCCTGATGCGCCACCAAGTGCGACAACACCACCAGTGGCTTCGATGCTCGGAAGCTGGTCACGTCCAGCGCGTCGGCTGAATTCGCCTCGAAGGGGATGCTCCAGGTGAAACTGATGGCGGGATCATCCTTGGTGTCGACGACCTCGGAGATGAGGTCGAACCCTTACCCTAGAAGTCGTGGCCCACAATTTCAAGCCTGAATACCCGAACCACCTTTGTTTTACTAACAATTTTCACTTCACTACAAAAGATCAACCATTTTAAACATGGTCTTGGACTTCCAGTGCTTCTGGTGCAGACGTATGCTCCTTTTCTGTTGCTTCTCTGGCAAAATCCGGCACATGGCTCATACAATGGGTCGATGGATATCGATGGGCTGATGGCAGAGGTGGTACCACAATCAGCAATGACTGGAGTGAGATTGTGGATCAGGTGTACCGAACCATCTCTCCAAGCTGCAAAGCACGGTGCCACCGTCTCCGCCGCAGGCAGCGGATCGGCCCGGCTGCGCGCCGTCCGCGGCTCCGCCGCGCGCGGCGCACGGGCGGCGAGGCCCGCGAAGGCGTCGGCGACGACGGGGCGCAGCTGCACGATGGGCACCGGCGCGACGATGGCCTCGTCCGTCGATGGGCGATGGTCGACGATGGAGCGGAGGTGTCGAGTGCACCGTGGAGCGGTTGGGGGTTGGGGGTTTGAGCCTAAGCATGCCGAGGGCCACGCCTGGGAATCCTTTCGGCATCCAAATCGAACCATGGGTGTTGAGCCACGTATCGAACGGGATGCTTCATTTATGTCAACTTGACTAAGTCTCCAGGCCGCCAAAATTTCCAGAAGGAAATCAAAAAATCATCGGAACATATACCGTAGTTTAACCTTAGGAAAACGAACAGTCCAAACCCCCGTTTCTGTGGCTAAGGCTGATGGCGTTTTGCGACGTGCTGACATCTGGGCAGCATTGCACATGAATATCAGTCAAACCCTCCTAGCCCTGGCATAGCTAGTTACTAGCCAAGTGTATTCGGCGAATCCCCTTTTAGTTGTACAAGTGCAAGAATCCATCGCTTGGATGCATTGCTTCCAGTATCGGAGGAGTCATTTCCCTATAGCCGCATGTACAACCACTAGTGGAAGCGGGTGAGTCATGTTCCCTATCTTCTCAATATTTATCCCTAAAGCTCATCCCTTGTTTGTAGTCCTCCTGGAGCGTATCAAGCACATGGCTTTGGTTCTCCAGGTGGTCTTTTGATAGATGTATAAACAAACATGAACACACAGTTGATGATGCTGAAAGTATTGGGGTCGCAAACATCTTCTGGGCCACGGGTGACTGAGGATTGAGTTTGAGAGAATCGTTTACCAAGAATTGAACTTTCAATCGAGCATTCCGGCTGGTAATTCGAGCACGGCCACCACGTTGCATTTCGTGAATCTGTTTTTGCAAGGCGCTTTTGTTGTTTCTAATTGGATGTCATCATCGAGCGTCGCAAATTCATGCAATTGCCAAAACACGAGTATAGTGAGGGTGTAGAGCAGCCTCCATACTTGCCAGATGCAACAAGTCGTAAGGCGTCAATCAATGGTCTGATGCCAAACAAATAAATGATAAATTCACGATGATGAGAATCAAAGATGTTGTTCATCGGTACGCCTCTAGGAAGATGAACTTAACTTCCGCTGTTGCAGATTTTGAAAGCCAACGGGTTCCACTGATCTTCCAATTCCCATCCAAGTGACAAGGGTGGCATTCTCTGCGGCCACACCTCACTCATCAACCCATGAAACCGGTCATTCCTCGTCACTGAAACATTCGTCTATGGTATCTTAAAAAGACGCTCTGTTAGGTGGAGGCCATCGCTTCTAGGTAGGAGGCCATCGCTATAGTAGGTAGGATAAAACTATCAACTTGACCTGTTCATGATTCAAAGGGGGGCCCCGGTAAAACAGCCCACCTGTTGATTCGTCATCACCAAAGCTGACACCAGGAGGAAGGTCGTCTTGTCTTCCCAACCCCTTCTGTAAGTGCCCATCTCTTCACGTGAGATCACTAGTAGTAACAAGAAGCTACTAGTACCATGACCATCAGAAACCTACAAAAATGTAGGTCGGCATTCAATAACCTGGCTTTCACCAAGAAACCTACAAAAATATACGTTATTTCCTCTCGATGTCAAGAACCCGTATTTTCTCATGCATCCTGGCATGTATTATTCCATGTATCCACAGAAGACCATTAGAATTCACATACCACTTCAAAGTGACACAAACCAGGTGTATCACCAGGTTATAATATATCGTGATACGTGGCGTCCGCTTCTCGCTCAGGTGGCTTCTCGAATGATGCTTGGATCAAGGGATCATGGTCTTTGTCTTTGAAGCTACTAGTAATTATAATAAGAAGCTTTTTATAGGTCTTTGAAGCTTCTTCGTAGCAAATAGCACTATAGTAACTACTGGCCTCCCTCGATTTCGACCCCAGAATCGCCGCCGAGCCACTCCGGAAGAGCTCCTGGCTCAGCTTCGCCAAGCGCTGAAGGTCTTCAGGACGATCTCCCAAGGGCAACCTGAAAGACCGATGAAGATGGACGTCCGCAGCACATTCGGTCAGTTTCGCTTGGCTTTGGGTTTTGTTTCTTGGTGTCCCTGATTTCTGTGCGTTTGGTTGATAGGGTTGATGAAGAGTTCTTCAAGAAACAACGTCTGGAATACACTGATAACCTCCGATCTCAAACGTTGATTTGGACCATGGAAAAGGGACGGGGATATTCTTACTTGTCTCAATTATTGTTTCAGTTGGTACCAGTAGGAGATTGGTTTGGGGAATGCTGAGGAGGTCCCGAACCAAATCAACCTCCCAGACTCAGACCACATGAAACACTCGTTGGGATCGGGGCAAGACCTCCGGCACAGCCTCAAGCAGTTGCAGCTCACCAAGATTCCAACGACTAGAAGAAATCAAAACCAAGAACTGGTTTCAGAGCTGCCAGGGCTGGTCGAGATAAAACAATCATGTTGTCCTCAACTGCGGATTCATTTGTCAAGAAGCTATTAGGGGCTCCTGAGGGGCTCCTGGCCTTACTACTAGGAGCAAGGACGCTATTAGGGGCTCCTGGCCTTACTAGGAGCAAGGGTGCTACTAGGGGCTCCTGGCCTTACTACTAGGAGCAAGGACGCTATTGGTATTTATTCAAGAAAAGACCAAGAAATCAGCTCAGCTAAGCAACAGGGTCTTCATGCTGCCAGGGCCAAAAGCTCTTAGCGGATGACCTTCCACCTGACGAAGTATCGAGACTCAGGTGCGCTGGGGGTGGGGCGTATCAGTGTCCCCTCCAAGGCAGGTGAAAAAAAAGACGCCGTTTTCCATGGAGTTCTCGGAATTCTTCCGAACCCTCTTCCGAACCCACCTGTTTCGGCCGCTCTTCAATATGATGTGATTCTTCTAACACGAGGAATGAAGCGACTCGGTCAGACGGTGTTTACACCGTGTTTGGTGAAAAGGTCTGTAAACACATCGAGGTCTGTAAACATCGATGTCCCGCCGTCCGACATCTCAAGAGCTGTAAACTCCGCAGCTGGGCCGAGAGCCTCGGTCCGCGAGGGTCAGAACAAGGGCGACGGCGAAGCGACGTCATGAAGAACCGCAAAAAGAACGAAACAACTTAAAACATAACGAAACAACTTGACTATAGTTGATGTTTGCAATCACTTCTAAAGAAACTACAGCTTTGATGGAAAGCTTCTGTTGAAGACCTGTATACAATTGCATAATACAAATTAGCCTAAACATGCCTTATAGGCACTCAACTAAAGATCGATCTTCAGTTCATGTTCCATGATCCCCAAAAACGGTCATGTTCACTATGCCTAAAAAAAGAGAAACATCCAAAAAAGATCTAAAAAAAGGAAGTTACCAAACCAACTCCAAATTCGATTTCCACCGTCACCGTCTCCGTTCCCCCACACCTTGTGTGTCAAACCTGCTCTGTCCAAGAGGCCCATCCATGAACTCGCCATCGATCCGTCGCACCTCTCGCGCCACCGAGGACGCCACGAAGCGCGGATCAGCGGCGTCCGACGCGTCGGCGTCCGCGGCGCGGAAGCAGCGGCCGAAGCGCGGCAGCGCGGAGGACCAGTCGCTGGCCTCGCAGGAGAGGGTGAAGAGCGCCTGGAGACGTGGACGGTGGAGGTCGGGGCGAAGCCGAAAGAAGGTCGGAGGGGCAGCAGATGGCAGGTGGACAAAGAGGCGACGACACAACGGGGATCAAGGGTGCTCGTAGAGTTGTGGTGTTCTCCACAAGGCTCAGTGAGCTGCCGATCTTCCTAATCAAAGGCTTCCTATCCCAGACCAGCCAATGGAACCCAGTGCATCCCAGTTACCACTATAATTATAAGGAACCAGGGATTCTAGGTCTATGGTGTTAGTCTTTGGAACCAACTGGTTACCAGCGACATCGTGGTTTGCCTGGATGCCCTGGGGAATATATGCCGATCAGTTGACCCCCCCAAACCACCTCACCTGATCGGTCAAGATGTCAGTCCCGGAAGGCTGTGGGTCGGCACCTGAGTCCGTCCCTCACCCGACTGACCTACTCGGTTTGACCTGTCGTTGGTCGCCGTTGGTCGTGTATGTTCAGTGCAAAAAAAATCATCGGTGGATCGATGTGTGCTGGTTGATCGAGTGGACTGAGAGCCAGACATGGCCCCCCCGGTTTGTCGGAGGTTCATGTCGACCCCCATCTTACCCAGAGGCAACCCGAACGAGGCGAACCTATCTTCCTCCCACACTAACAAAGCCAGGTCTTGATGAACACAAATCAAGTCCTACTGGCGTGATAACCAGAAAACACTCAGCCTCAGTCAACGATAGGCATGGTCTGGTCTGGTCTTGGCGATATGCCTGCCATGCGAGTGCCTTCTGCTTTCCGCGGACCCAGGGGCTCCCGATGTTTGCTCCAAACCACCACGACCTCCTCACATACTGCTGTTCCAAGGCACTGATTCGAAGGCCGTGAATCCATTGGACTCGCCAAACCTGGGGCGCTCCACTCCCAAAACGAGGGCTGAAGGCCAGAATCCGAGAAGACCAGGGGAAACACACATTAATATAACATGCATATCTATACGGCTCTGTTCCCAAAACGAAGACTCCCAGTTCTCAATGAGAAGACTCTCAGTTTTCATGAGAAGAGCTGAGCTTCATCATAATCCATTTATATATTACACCAACACTTGAAGGAATCCGACAACTTGCACATCTTTCATCATGTCATCCTTCTGAAAAGCACTGGCTTCGTGGGCAGAAACATCTGGCCGCGTGTCTGAGGAGCTGGGCAGTAAAGGGTTTGACCTTAAATGGAGTCTGATGATAACTACGTTTTCACGGAAACTTTGCTGTTTTGTCAGATCCTGCAGAAGCATTGCTTCTGATCCAAATTGATTCCTGGATTTTAGGGTAATGCACACGTAGGATTAATCAACCCCCCCCTTCAAGGTCAACAAGGTGAACAAGGTTTGGCATTGGAGGAATTGGAGACCACATCCCCTTAATAAAGATGATGACCTGATGATGGATGATGAGATGAGGACCTGGACCTGATGATGGGTGATGGTTGATGGGATGGTGTGTGAATCGTGAGAGTTTGAACCATGAGAACCATGAAGGGTCTGAGTGTATGTGCACAAGTTTGATCAGAGATCAGATTGGATTGACTAGCCAAAAAGAAAATAACAATGGACATAAATAGTAAATTATATGTTGTTTTTCTGGGGCAGCTGGGCTTGATTAATAGTGGGGGTTCTGACAAGGAACACAAATTATCAAGGGGAGGTTGCAGGGTTTTAATTTGTTTAGTATTGGAGGCTCCAGCTGAATCCTATGTGAGCATTATACTGGTACTCCCCAGACTCTATGTTGGCTGTGCCATGGACTTTGGTACTTCTTGGCAAGATCATCTCACACTACTCCATGCAGGATACAATCGAGTAAGAAACTCTCTGATGAACTACGAATTGATGGATGAACACCTGCACCCATTTGGCCCTTCGTTTCTCCGCATTCACCAGGCATCTACCATGAGTTCTCCATGGTTCCGTCGCCCGTGGTGTGACGTCGCCGAGGGGCCGCGTCTCCAACCAGGTTTCCAAGTCTTCTCCCGCGTCCTTCTCCGAGAGCAGCAAATGCTCCGTCAGGTGCGCTAAGCCGGGCCGATCCGCTGGATCATCGAACTGGCCAAAGGGCAAGGTCAAGGCGACATCCATCCTCGAGAGGACGGTGGTTCTGACTGGGAGTCACTGGCAGTCAGGTCGTGGTGTTTGAACTGGGCGCAGGACAGCTCACGCTTCTTCAAGGAAGCTCTCCCCGTCCTAAAGGTGGCGAGGAGGAGATTCCTTGAAGAAGCTCTCGCACTAGACCCATAAAATTGTTGGGTTTGAGGCCATCGCTCTTAGGTAGGAGGCCTAGACTTTGTTCCTAGGTTTTTTAAAGGAAACTTCACTTGCAAGCGCTGGCCACATGAGTGATAATGAAGAGAAAAAACTGAAGTTCACCCCGATGTGGAGTTGTAGTAGAGGTTTCATCTTGCAAAGAACAGACCATAACATGACATACTCTATATAATATGCCATACCCCAATAGGCTAGAGTGCAAACCTGATTTGATCACACAAATCGTCACCCCATGCAATAGGGGACCTCAATCCTTCCCAAACAGTTCCGCGCATCGGGATGCGGGACGGGCATCAGCGTGCCAAAACAAATGCGATGCACATCATTCTCAGTCGTTCACTCAAAAAGGGAACTTGGAAACAGTTAAAAAAAAAAGAAAAAAACACTGCCAGAAAGGGGAAACACATAGAAACACATCGACAAAGGGACCACTGCCCAGCCGAAGCCTCTGTTCCATGGACTCATCCTCCACCAAGAGCACCCGCAAGCCATTCGTCAGGCGAAAAGCTTTGTAGATCCGTGGTTTGTTCCAGGGTGAATCCGCATTGGCGGCGTCGGGAGAGAGCACCTGGCCAGGTGGAGCGTCCCCTAGACTTCCGCAAGACCATTAAAAACAAAAATGGGAACGACCTGGTTATTGTAGTGCGAAATCCTTAGTTCATTCGGGATGACCCGCCTATTAATGGTGGGCCAGGTTTCCACAGCGGTCGTTTTGGAAACCGATCGGCAGGGGTCGGTCCGCACGGATGGCGTATCCAAGAGGAGGTTGGGGGAGGACAGGCAGCCTTTGGCGGGAAAACACCAAGTGACCAGATTCGGTTCCTCCATGTTCCTTCTCAGTCTTTTGCTACACCTTACTGACAATGTGTGGGTCGAAACAAAAGATCCCAAAACTGGCTCAAAAGCCGATGATGCTCAGCTTCGAAGGGCGCCACTGGTAGTATGTCCGTTGATTCTTTGACCACTAAAAGATTATGTTGAAGCGTTGCTTGACCAAATGACAGGTGAAGGCGTGAAGAGCAAGATCCGAGAGCTCTTCAAGCTGATGGCTGACAACTTCGAAGTGAACCCCAGCCAACAAGCCATCAGCTACCCATCCCCGCCAAGCTACCCCAAAATCCAAAGGACATGTACCGAGCACCACACCCGAAAGCCGTATACACAGCAGTGCGTGCACGCACTGCGCTGTTCGATGGCCGCACTGCCACCTCTTCGTCCTCTGTGGCAGCTTTGGCCACCTCAGCCAGGACCCACGGCAACGCCGCCGCACCGCGCCGCGGCAGCGCAACCAGCGCGGGCGCGGCAGCGGGGCAGGGAGTCGGAGTGGAGGCCGCCAGCGTGGAGAGGATCCTGGGTCAGGCGACCGAGTCGGGATGGGGATGATCAAACACGAAAAGACGCTGGATCGGCTGGATCGGCTGGATTTAGATATCTCATCATATCTACCATACTGGACAGAGGGGATTCGAATGGAATGCTGGATGGGGTGGAGAGAAAGAGACACAACTTTCTGCCCAAAGATCTGCAGGATCCATGTAGCGGTAGCGACCATCCAGAGCTGATGCTTTCTGCAGAATGTCTCGGAATGTTTCATGGGTTGCGTCCTTGCTTGGTTGAAAGTACATTTGAGTGCTCACTTGCGTCCGCTTGGAGGCCGCTATATCCGGCCGGTTGGTCGCTTGGTTGCTAGGCTTGGCTTGCGTGCTGAACTTCATCCGCCCGAAGGTCGGTCGGTCGGTTTGTTTGTACACGAAGGTCCTAGTAGATTCCTTTGGTAGTAATTACAATTCTAATCAAATTCTTATTGTTACTACTAGTAAGGCACTTGTTACTAGAAGCGATGCACTTGTTACTAGTAGCTTCTTGTTACTACTAGTAAGGCACTTGTTACTACTAGCGTGGCACTTGTTACTATATAGTAGCTTATTACATGCTATCCCCCGAAAGTCGGTCGGTCTGGACACGGGGCGTTTGGGCGTTTGGACATGCATAGAGCCGGTCTGGCTCGAGCCAAGGAGCAAGTTTCAACAAGCATCAATCTGCACTGCTGAGAGCTGGATAAAGGGAAGCACCTCCTCATACCTGGTTCTTTTTCTGAAAGTAGATGCCAGGAGGATGATGCTGACACAGGCCAAACCCTGAACAAGAAGAGGTAAATCTAGACCAAAAGGATTTAGCTTCAACTCGTGTGGCGACCCTCCAACTCTTCATCGAGGTACCACAATGAGCATGCAGTTCCTCAACAGCTATGCCACTCTCTGGCTACCTAATGCCCTTTTACAATCAATATTCACTTTAAAGTTTGAAAAACACTTGAAGATCGTGGATGGTGTGGTCCCACCATCTCAACCTCATCTTTCGCACCGAAGCGCCACTGCGAGCGATCCCATTCCCTTCGCCCCGCGGCCGCCGGACGCCTCTCCCGCGCATTCCTCGTGGCCAGCCAGCATACCACCTGCCGACCAAAGGGAGCGCTCCGAGTCACGACGTCACGACGGAAGAGTCGAAGAAAACCACATCGACTGGAAAAATAAAGATCTAAAAAAAAAAGAAAAACTATATTTGCTATATGTGATTGCCTCCTAAGACCGGTGGCCTCCAACCTAAGAGCGATTGCCTCTGCGGTGACTCTGCAAATATTGTAAACAACGTACACATCTCATCAAGCGTTCGGTAGTAGTACAGGAATCTCCTATCTTCCACGTGGTTGTCTTCTACCTTGTGTCAGCCTTTACCTGGCCCATGTTCTTCGAACAGATCACCTGTTCCTAAAAAAACAAACAAACACTTGCAAAGGCGCTTTTTGAAGATATATCGTCTGTGTTCCTGCCTGGCTCAGTCCCCTGACCCTCGATGTTTCTCGCTCGCTGAGTCCCCCGGCCCAGCATCACAAAGTCGGCACCGGCGCCAAAGGCTTTGCACACGTCCCCGGGACAGGTGCACCTCGTGTCAGCGAAGGTGGGTCGCGAGTGAGTCGGGCGCCCGAGTCGGAGGGTTGGGCGCGAAACCGTGGAGTCTTGGATTGTTTGACAGATTCTTGATTTGCGTGAGGCAAGAAGTTGGCCCATCGTGATTAAGCTCAAACAGAATGGAGGAATAATCCCAGACTGCCGAAACCATTGTAGACCCAAAAGAGAACTGGTATCATATTATTGTTACATTACATACAATTATTGTTACACCCTCTGTTCAGAGGGTTCACGACTAGTCATCTGTCGAACATCATGGTGGATGCATCATGGAACATCCAGCACCCCAATCCAAGAAAAACTAGCCTGCAGGTCTGCACCTCTTCAGCTTCGCAACGAGCTTTGCGGGATGAAGGAGAATTGAGTCACACCCCTGTCAGATCTTTAGCATTCTTTAGTGAGTCCTTCACTTCTATATCGGTTCAGTCGATCGCCGTCTATGCCTGAATTTACCCTGTCTCTTACACGCAGTTCAGTATGCGACCCAGTGGCTAATGGCCATCTTGGATCGATAGTAGAAGGAAATCTTAAAACAGATTGGGGAGGGCTTGGAAGGGAGGCATCGCTTTCTTGTCGTTAGTAAAGGCAGGCAACCCAACAAGTGTATGTATGAGCATGAGCACCCAAAGGAGACAATCAAACAAACACACTTCACTCGAGTCGAAGGTAACAGCAAAGCTCAGCTGATACTAGAAGAGTTTTGCCAAGCTGTTGCCGCAACATTTTTGTTGGTTGCAAACCAACCAGATTATGTTTAAGTGGGCAAGTGATGGACTGGCTTGATCAAGGGCATCACTAAGGGTGTCGCTTCAAATCCCCGAGTTTGGGCTCCACAGGAGGTGACTCTTACCTCTTACATGTGCAGATCAAGAAGCTCTTGAAAGGAAAAACACATGTCAAACAAATGCACTGGATAATGTTCATCCTTCATGTTCTGGTAGACCATCGCTTTTGGCCCGTCGCGAACCCCTGGGTTTTTGCCAATTCTCAAGGACTGAAGGCGGCTCACGGACGATGGCTCACGGACGATTGCTCACGAAAAACGCTCATCGGCTCCAAAATCAGAGTCCGCTTGCGTCCAAATTCTTTCAAATCAACAACTCCTTACAAAACTCTATGGCCCTTGGATATAAAAACCTCGGTGTTCACGGCTCCGTGCGCATGGCGATGGAGCGTTCCGCCCGGTGCCCGCGTGGCTGGTCGCCCAGTGGCCCGCCATCCGAGACGATTCGCCCGCCGAGACCTCGGGTTCGCGAATCGAACGGAGCGATCGGACCGCTATGCTCGGTGGAGGCCACTAGAAACAGGAAGCTACTAGTATTCTTCCCATCGTATCTGAACAGGTTGTTGAGTTCGTTAACTTGATGTATCTGGTCTTTTCCTTTCAAACACATAAAAGCGTAAGCGCAGGGTGTAAAGGTGCTAATGTCCCCGAAGTGCTCCCGAGATCTGCAGAAGGCGAACCTCAACTTGATGAAACTGATACATCTGGGATCAGTTTCAGTGCGCCTTTTTCATGAGCACTGGGCGCAGCTAAAGTTGCGGAAAGTATTATAAGGAGTAGTAGTAGCTCCTTGCGGCAATTACTAGGCAGTCCCCCAGGCCCCCAAACAACAAAGTATTTGGTGCTTTCTAGGCAATTGTTTTGCATCAAACCACTTGAGGACTTGGTCGTGCAAACACCCAGCACCATCCTCTCTTCGGGTCACATGATGTGACCAGCTAGGTGCAGGTTCAGGTTTGCGGGAGCTTTCTGTCAAAGCGACAGTGTAGGGGATGGCTGCTGGCG